TTTTATTTTGTTTTGATTGATGTAAATGTAACAAAACCCGGACAAAACATTATTATTATGTCACAAAGACATTTCAGGGTAGTAAGCTGGAAACCCTCAATAATATGATTGTGGCCTTGAATTTAACAGTTTCGCAACACCTTCTTGTTTCAAACTTTTATAAAATAACCTACTAGATAATTGGAGTAATCGATCCAAAGTTATAAAATTCAATAAAGGGTCTAATTTTTTCTCTGGGTTTTTGTTTGCTGATAAGGTATTTCTATTTTGGTTTTAGATGGTAAATCATTTTCAAAAATGGTAATAGTAAATGATTTTATTGATGGTTTTTTTCTTCATCTTTGTAATTATTAATAAGTACTAATCAGCTATTTTTTTGGTAGGCAAAACATATTCCTCATAAAGCTTCTAACGGTTTTACTATATAGTGCTCTGACATACCAATCAACCAATTAAATTTCATGTTTTCATTGTTCTGAATGGAATTTCGACATAATATTAATATTAATATCAATATCATTTATTGTTTTCAGTTCGGTTTTCCCGTTTTTCTTTCAATTCATTGTTCAAATGCTTTTTGATTACTGCTACCACTCAATGATTTGCACTTTTGAACTTTGCAAACTAGCCTAAAATCATCATCAATATTAAAATATATTCTAAAATAAGCAAATTTCTTAATATCCTCAAATTGTAAGACATGCATCCTTCAACAATAATCATTTGTAGCATTACCATTATTTGGAAAGAGCCATCTTTGTTTCTTTTCAAGCTAGTATGGGAGCTCAAACATTATTTCCACTTGGAATAGTTTTCGATTGTTGAAACCAACATGAATTTAAATCAATATAAATCTTTTCATGAAAAAATGCATTATTATCTATTATACCAAGATAAAATCGTTATATTTTAAGAACTATTATTACCTTTTTGATCAATTAATGAAGGAGATCTTAGCAAACAATAATTATCTTAGCATATGCGCTGATTTTGTTTGAACCCCAAAATTCACTTCACAACATTATGAATACTTTATACTAGCAAAAACCCATTGGTTTGACACAATAAGATCTAAGGTTTGAAAAAAACCGAATCGGCTGATATGGCCAAACAATAAACCATTACTTTTTCGATTAATAAAACTATATATTAATTTGTTTGATAAATAAGGACAAAACTATTACTTTTTTGATGTAGCTCACATCAATCAATTTTCTTCCTTTCTAAAACTTGTTATTTTATTCTATTTTTAGTGTGCCAAAAACACAATATTGTGTTTTAATTGTATACAAGCTTGAATTTGACATACTTGTAAAATAACTTTGTAAAATTAATTTCGACTTTATATTGTTATAATAATTGGTGACACAGATCGCTCATATATTCTTTATTTTTATTTTCCAATGCACAGTTATTTACCTAACAGCATACGAAAAGTTGAGATGTTCAACTACATTGGCGTGTATATATACTTGACTCGCTTTTACCTAGGCGTTAGCTTAGTAACTACTTCTCGAGATTTTTCGGGAGTTTTGGCACTGCTTTCAAAATACTTTGATTATAGTGAGTGACATGACAATGTATTTTTGGCAAATTTTT